TTTCCATTTAGTTTCCTTTGATTAGTATTATCCTCTCTTGGTTTATTGCTATGTCCACCTTAGTTTCTTTCCTGTTACTAGTTTTATTTTATTGTTTATTGACCCTCACCATCAGTAATCTTCACTCATCATGTCATTCACCTGCTGCGCTGCCCAATTCTCATGTGATTCATCAGATTTGCCACTATAAGCTCTTGATTTTTTACTGTTCAGCGCCGGATTCTCTGATACTGATTCACATCAAAGTTCGTTGCTCCATTCTACGTCCCGGTTTTCCTGCAATGTGCGCGTTTTTTTCTTTTTTCTTTTTTTGCTTGTTTGTTTTTTTTGTTGTTGTTGTTTTTACCACATATGGTGCGGGTAACGTATCGATGGAGAAATGCAGACTGGCATAAACCTTTTAAAACAACAGAAAAAAATTCCGGTATAATGATTATTAAAATTTAAAAGTGCTGGTACTACGGTTACATACCGGACCACTTACGGTACCTGTGTAATTGTATAAAATGAACGGTCCCTATCGTGGTATCACCCATCAAAGGATTTCTTTATTTAAATGGGTTCATTTTTCTGAGTGATACAAAGTGAGGGTATCATGATTTTAGTCATTACATGTTTATCAGAGCGATATTCCATTGTCCTTCCATGTGCAGCATTCAGATTAACATTAAAACACTTTTTAATATAAATTCCTGCTTTGACATGATCACAGCACTGACAAAACATATGTACAAAACCCCTCAATAAAACATAAAATATTTGAAAATCAGACACCAGACAAGTGAATCACAGCAACATCATCAGCTGGTGTAACACTGAACTGATGTGGTGAAGCTACTAGTAGCAGGAGAAGCTAACAAACACTGAAGAGAAGAAGAGCTGCCATCGATACAGTTGCAGCCAGACATGTTGTAATTGTTTTAGTAAGTTGCTCAAAGTCTAAACTGGTACTGTTGAGCATTTAAGGTGTAAAGTTTACCTTGGAGCAAATGCCCCCCAGAGGAATCCCAGCACCCTGGTTTGGAAAGATTTCTGTCACCACCCTCTGTCGTCCTTTGAACGCCCCCTGGGGGGCGGTACCGCCCCCGTTGAGAAATGCTAGTCTAGACGTATTGAGATGACAACAAACAAGCAAGATTTTGATTTCTGGGTCAGCTGAACTCCCATCAACAGATGAGAGCGCTGAGGTGAAACTAACTCCCACAGAGACACAACCCAAATGCTCATGATACTCAGAGATGTCCCTTGACTAATGGGAGAAGTAGCCTCTGTGTGTATGGTCTGCATATATGCATGTGTTTCTCTTAAGTGTCATATCTGAACAAACATGACAGAAAACTCCTGAATCACAAAGTCTTCTGTGTGATTCAGGTATCTGAGGCTGGAGTTCCCAGTGAATAAAGAAAAGTCAATCAAAAAGAAGTATCAATGTTTTTATTACTTAGCAGACTTTCACCCACAGTAAAATCACACATAAGTGGATGCCTTGTCCTTTGTCTACTCCTTGATATTCTCAATTTCCCTTTCAATTCCTTTATAACTTTTTGAAGAAGTTACGTTTTATGGTTATATTCTCCTGAACATGACCATACGGTCATATTTATTTTATGATCATACACTCCTAAGACAAAAGGGATACTGTGAAAAGTTCTGATAGTTTGACTGGTGTATTACTTTAATATTTTAATTGCGTGGTACGTGAGTTTTGACTAGCGTTGCAGCAACAGTCACAGTACCATTTCCTCATATCAGGGTGCCTGACCAGAGGAACCTACTCAGAAGTTTTCCCTTACTTGCCTGGAGCGCAACTGGGACTTAGTACAGAACTAGGGCAGGGGCTTTCCATACTACTACTAAGACCATTAGGAAAGTAAATAAATTAAAAAGTTTTTTTGTAACTTAAATGTTGAAAAAAATATTTTTGCCCATAATTCGGTAGTTGCAGAAACCCATTCTGCATGCACACTCCTCCCTAACGTGGATCTGGGACAACTGAAGCATGTCAAGGATAAGAATAGGTTAATAATCATCATTTGACTGAGGGCAGTCAGATCAATTTATTGTGCTAAATTACTATTCTTGCTAAAAAAAAAAAAAAAAAAAGTGCACTTAGGGCATCAATGACGAAAGGGGCAGGTGCTCAAGCCCGTATCTCCCTCACCTATGCATTTGCCTGCAGCACAATTCAAAAATTCATGTAATAATAACTTGAACCAGGTCGTGATCATTTACGTTTGGTACCTGCCTTTTTAACAAGTTCTTCCTTCGCGCTCTCAGCCACACTGCTTCTCGATTGCTCTGTTTTCATGCCAGATGTTACATCATCAACAAGCATTACCTCGGTTAGTTGGTAGACTACACATCTCTATTGTAGGCCAAATACCATATATATCGCACATTCCTAATCTTAACCAATAAATTAAAACCCTCACTTTGAAAGACTCAGTTGAAGGAGGTAGATAATAAGTAGATGTATTGAAATGTTTTCATTGCTTTGATTTTATACATTTTAATATTGCTGAATGTGGACCTGCTCAACACCTGCACAGAGACTTGAGGACAAAAGCACAGCATGTCAGCAGCAACATGAACATTAAACAGCCTGTCTAACACACACTTTCCTTCATGGAAAGTGAGGGAAATCCCCATAAAAAGATTTAGAGCTCTATTGTACATTTACTTCACAAAGCACCAAGGAGCCCATGGTGTCCCTTTGCTTTAAGCAATAAAATACACAGACATTTCATTAAAAATATTCTTTGCAACAGCTAACTTTTATTCATTTAATACTTTCAAATATGAACCAAGCCTATGAGAATTTTAGTTTAAATGAATCAGCCGAAGGAGTTGAATAGAAGCCTTCACACCCAGATAGTAGAGACAGCAGCTGGGTGGGACGACAGGGCTGCTTGGGTGATTAGGTTGGCTTGTGCATTTACATGTGGGAGTTCACTCGTTAATATTCATCAGTTCACAAAGTAAGCAAGTCACAAGACAATTTAAATGTTTTTTGATGTTTTCTTCACTTACTTTTACAAACACATTATTGGTGGATTCTTCCATGCTTTAGACCAGTGGTCCCCAACCTTTTTATAACCGTGGACCGGTCAAGACTTGGAAATTTTGTTGCGGCCACTGCTTTAGACATTGAACTTCTTAGAGGAGTATCACTTTATGAAGTACCTGGATCTCCATGCCCTGCTCCAGTAGTCTCTTGGCTTGGTTCTCTACTTCCAGCCTAGCTCTGCTGATCAGCAGCAGATCGTTCTCAATCACCTCTATACCGCTCAGATCCACACCTTGAGACAAGTAGTCTGGAATAGAAAAAAGAAAATAGTGATTAATTTGCACATTTTGGCATCTAAATGTGGTGAAGCAGAGTTTGGATTTAATAGAGAGAGGAAAGAAAGAAAGATGCAGAAGTTAATTGGACTATAACAAGTGCAGCAGCCAGCACAACTTATTTGTACACAGCCCTGCTTCATTCTATCAATCACACATCCCTGAAGATTTGCAGTTACAACAAAAAGAAGATGGAAGATGTTAAACAAAAGCTCTTCCTCTAATGGTGGTCTGAAAACGAAAGCAGTAAAATCTTGACTAAAATATCAGGTTCCCATCTACACTCTATGGTGAAAACGACTTGTTCAA